TCTATGCTGGAGTACATCATCTTCTTCTTCTTTCTTACTTCTTCTTCTTCTTCTTTCCCTCTCTCTCCTCTCAAGTTCATTCATTTCTTTTTGCAATTAGACCTCGTTGTTGTTGCTGCTGCTGCAGCAGCGGCAAGTGGCAGTGCAGGGCATTCTGGAACTGTTGCAGCCCCGAATTCGGACCCAGCAATCGCTGGTCCTAGTGTGGACAGGAAAGCGGCACAGATTCCGTCTAAGTATGACGGAAAAGACGACATTGAATCTTGGATCAGCTCCATGCGATCCTACTTGGATGTGTTGGGGACACCCCCAGTGACTCAGTCGTCGGTCCTAGGGACCAATGTGGAACACGCCGTAAGGGGCTTCTTAGAATTCCAAGCTGTACAATCAGGCTATAAAAGAATAAACCTGAACAAATGGCTGAAGGATACACCTATAGCCGCGCTCAAGGGACTCTTGATCAAACAATATGCTGATCCACATGCTGCAGCCAAAGCTAGACTTAATCTTGACAAGCTCAAGCACAGCAAGTGGACATGCACCATGCATAGCCTGCAAAAGTATGTTAGTAAACTCCTTGCTACTCCGGATCTGGAGATGACTGCGTAGTCTTGCTTGGATGTGATTAAAGGTACGGTCCCCTCTACTATAACACATCGCCTGGGGCTCAGACTCATTGCGTATACAAATTGGTTGACCCTCATGCGGGACTTAGTCAAGCTGGAGGCACAAGACCTCCCGGGTGGATCGGGTGGCAAAAAGGTCACCGGCCGCAAAAGGTTTCCAGGCAGCAACCGATTTTCAGCGCACGATCTACTTGAGGATGACGAGGAGACCTTCGCAGAGGATCCTTCTCTTGATGATGATCCAGAGTAAGGCTGCGAGGCATCTCGCTCTTCGTCAACTCATGAGTCTGAGTATGTAAATGCTGAAGAATCCATGAATGCCTTCAAGAAGACTGCCTTCAAAAGTAAGGGACCCAGTACCACAGTGAATAACAACACTAACACCATTCTTCTTCCCAAGGGAGCGAAGATTCCACCCAAGAAGATCCTGCCACAAAACCATGGGTAGATCTCCGGATAAGTGAAAGTGAGTGGAAACACAGGGTGAAGAAAAGGGTTTGTCTGCATTGCACCAAACCGGGACACTCAGTCCAACATTGTTTCGGATTGCAGCAGGGAAACCAACAACGGGGGTAGAGACATCATCAACACACTCAACAGACGGAGAGGTTGAACATGTAAGTGCAGTTCCTTCATTGGATTTTGATCCCATTCAGCAAACCTCTCCTGAGACCCCATCTGATGCTGATTCCAAGGCTGAGAAAATACACATCCTATACAAGGAGCCTTGGGTGGAGTCGGAAAAAATCGACTTTCACGCTCTCTTGTCGCGTTGGGCTCACATGAAGCAAGAATGCGCACAAGGGAAAACGAAGTTGATCTTCTTCAAACTCCGCATTAATGACCGTTACATCCGTGCGTTGGCTGATTGTGGCGCAACCTCTAACTACTTCTCACCGCACGACATTCGTAAGGCATGCTTGGGAATGAAGCAAGTGACTTTGCAGAATCCTTGTCGGACTCAAGTGGGTAACCAAGAGGTTGTCACATCTACGTATGCAGTCAAAGGTGTGCGCACTACCTTTGATGTAGACCGCACAATCACGCATGAGTTGAATTTCTACGTCCTTGATCAATGCCCCTTCGACGCGGTTATTGGCTTGGGTTAGTTACATGCCCAATGTGAAAGAACCACGTGGAATGACTCACAGTTCATGGTCAAAGATGCCATGTGAATCGAGCGTCCAGTCCTCTTGGATGAATCGCACGAGTCCCAAGTAACTTTTCTCAATGCAATGCAATTCTGCAAAAAGTGGCGCAGGCGCAAAGTTGATGAGCAAATGTATATAGCCTTTGTTAGGCCTGCTCATGTGCCTTCTATTTTTGTTGTACATAATGATTCTACTTTGCATGTCGTTTCTACCCCTAATGCAACTATTTCTACCTCTACTAAATATACTTCTAGTCCAAACGACTCTGCTTCCAATTCTGTTGTTTTGGCTGCACCTATGCAATCCGGTATGCTTGCACCTGAAAGTGATGATCCACCTCCGGAAGTCCCATAAAAAATCCGCAACCTTCTCAACCGATTTCCTGAAGTCTTGGCCGAACCGCATGGAGTTCCCGTGCGGCCGGTCCGACACAAGATCGAGTTGATAGAAGGTAGCACTCGTCCAAAAGGCTGTGTCTATCGAATGGGCTCAGGCGAATTGGAGGAGTTGCAAAGACAAATCGATGACATGATTGAGAAGGGATGGATCAAGCCAAGCGAATCCGAATTCGGTGCACCAGTTCTGTTTGTCCCAAAGAAAGGAGGCAAACTACGGATGTGTATCGATTACCGTGGACTAAATAGAATAACAAGAAAGAAAGTGTATCCTTTGCCACGTATTGATGATTTGCTTGATGTTGCAGGTGTGTGCAAGATCTTCAGCAAGATCGATCTCAAGTCTGGCTACCACCAGATTGAAGTCGACCCTGCAGACCAGCACAAAACTGCATTCAAAACCCGCGATGGGTTGTACGAGTTCACCGTCATGCCCTTCGGTCTCACGAATGCACCGACCACCTTTCAAAGTCTCGTGGACAAAGTGTTTTGCAATCAGATCAACCAATTTGTTGTTGTGTATTTGGATGACATACTGATCTTCAACAAGTCGATGGAGGAGCACATGAGACATCTTGAGGAAGTGTTGCAGATCCTCAAGGATGCGCAACTCCATCTCAACTTGGAGAAATCTGAGTTTGGGAGGGACAGCGTCATCTACCTTGGACATCGGTTGTCAGCTGCAGGCCTAGAGCCCGAGGCAACCAAAGTTGAGGTCATCCACAAATGGCCTCAACCGGCGAATGTCCACGAGTGGCGTTCTTTTCTTGGTTTTGCGTCATACTACCGTAAGTTTGTACCCAACTTCTCTATCATTGCCCGGCCGCTGTCCAAATTGACAAGCAAGAATGTATCCTATGCATGGAATGAGGAATGCACAACAGCCTTCCAAGCATTGAAGGAGGCCTTGGCGAGTCATCCGGTGCTCCGCATTGCAGATCCCAAACTTACATTCGTAGTAACTACGGATGCCAGTTTGTATGGGATTGGTGCAGTGCTGCAGCAAGATGATGGCTACGACTTACGTCCGCTCGAATTCTACAACAAACGTATGCCCAGTCACAAGGTAGCTGCCTCCACTTACATGCGAGAGCTCTATGCCTTGAGAGAGGCGCTAGATCACTTGGGTCGCCATTTCAAAGTGTTCTCAGACCACGAGACCTTGAAATGGATTCAGACACAGACCAATCCCTCAACTACACTGACCCGCTGGCTGCATGAGATTGCTGTGTATGATTTCGAACTTAGGCACAAGAAAGATTTTTACAATCGTGTTGCGGATGCTTTGTCTCGCCACCGTGAGTACATGACTTGTCTTGTGGGTTCCTATGATCTCCGTAAGAATTTGAAGGAGGAACTCATTGAGCATACTGCCAAGGACCCGGAACTCAGTCCTGTCCTTGAGCAGATTCGGGCTGACCCTAGCAGTCAGCTTGATTTCCATGAGTGTAAGGGCTTACTTTTCCGACGTTACGGGAAGCACGACCGACTGTGTGTACCCAACCATGAGCCGATCCTTACTCACTTCTTGGACTTGGCTCATGGCCGGAGTAGACACTTCGGTTTTGAGAAAACATACGGAAGTCTGCTGCAAAAGTTTGTATGGCCTGGAATGAAAGGAATGGCACGAAAGTTTGTGGCTGAGTGTGAAGTCTGTCAACGCATCAAACCATCTCGGCAAAAGCCCTATGGGCTGCTGCATCCTCTTCCTATTCCTGATGGCCCGGGTGAGTCTCTTTCCATCGACTTCACGGACATGGGGAAGAAGAGTAGGAATGGATATTTGCAAGTAATGGTGATTGTTGACCGCTTTTCAAAATTTCTGAATCTGATTCCATTACCACCTCACGCCCCAACTGACCTTGTGATCAAGGAGTTTCATAAGAAGTACATTCTGCAGTGTGGGCCCCCGAAAACTCTCATGAGTGACCGGGACACTAGGTTCATAAGTGCAGATTGGAAGGACTTCACCTCCCAGATCTATGACATCAAACTCAAGATGACATCTGGTCGACATCCCGAAGCCAATGGGCTGGCCGAGGAGATCAACCAGATTGTGATCCAACTTCTCCGAGCTCTAATTGTGCTTGATCAAAACTCTTGGGATGAGGAGTTGCCGATTGTGCAGGGGTTGTACAACAACTCCATACACTCCCCCACCGGGATGACACCTAACCGGCTGCACTCGGGGTGGAAAATTCACAATCCTCTATCCTATCTGTTTCCTGAACAGCCACCTGGCCTGACACCTGGCCAGCCAGGCTACAACGCTAAGTTTGATCGTTTGCTCAAAGTTGTTGTCGCAGCTATGGAAAGGCGACGCAGTGCCATGATTAAGCATGCAAAGAAAAAGCGCCAGCCTGACCCTTTCACAGTGGGAAGTTATGTCTGGGTTAATATGTCTGAGTTTTCTGAAGAAGAAGGTGTATCACAGAAGCTTCTTCCTCAGTATTACAATCCGTGGAAGGTGCTGAACCGAGTAGGAGATGATTCCTTTGGTCCTTCTTACACGATCGACGTGCCTACTCATCTGCACACATACCCAGTCTTTCATGCGTCGAAGTTGTTTCCGTATGAACCACCTGAAACTTTTCGGTATCGAGAATCAATGATTCCCCGTGCAATCAATGGCGGTCACGAGGTTGATAGAATTGTCGAGCACAGTGGAAAGGGAAGAAACAGACAGTACAAAGCCCATTTTTTGTACCACCCGTTGAATGACTTTTACCGGATCGCTAGGAAAGACTTGCTGCAGAGTGCCCCGCGAGTCGTCAACGCCAATGAACGATTGATTAGTTTTGAACAGCAGCCTAAATTCACTGCTACCCTCACTCCTACGGAACATACCCGATCTCTCTTTGCTATTTACGCTTATGATGCATTATGCAAGGACTCTGATTGAGTTACTCGCTCGAATGGACCTCGCTCTTGAGGGGGGGGTAGTGTAATGACCCACCATAACACAGACTGAGAACACTGCTGATTTCTGAAGTTCTGCCGATGGAATGGATGCCTTGCCTAGATTCCCGCATTCTGCTGTGTTTTCTAAGTCTGTATGTGTGAGTGCCTGTCTGAGTGCTTGTCGGCATGAGTGTGCGTGTGACCTGCAAGGGTACTTGCTTGTTTGGCAGGCCCGTAGGGCCGGTACTTACCTGTGGCCGTGGCATTGACGATTGCAGCAGGGAAAACACTCAAGTAGCGGAGCCAGGGGCCTGCGGTGCTTAGAGCAGCGGAAAAACACTCAAGTAGCAGGTAGGCCGGTACCGCACCCAGTAGCAGTAGATGTGCCGGGTACTTGAGGCCGAGCAGAAGAAGACAAAGTTGGAATTTTTAGAGGCCTAGTAGCGGCAGGCTAGGTCTAGGCCGGTACCAGTCCATCCAGTCTGAGTCTAGAGCCTGTGCGGGCAATATCAGAGTCTGCAATGATGTTTCCCTCCGAAAGGGAGGCCTCATTCTTCAGTGTGCGAGTTGGGCGTCACGCTGTTGGAGCGCTGGTTGGAAGAGCGCTGGCTGCCACAGTGCTGCTGGGAGGAAGAAGCCGGGAGCTTCCACCTCGGCTATGGTGGAGCTCGACCGGTAGGAGGAGGAGGGAGAAGGGGACCAAGGGGGAGAGTG